GTCACCAATGATGTCTGTTCTGCTAAATCCAGTGGCTGGTTCTCAGCCTTCCTCTTACTTGACCTATGGTGAGTATCTGACATAGTTTCACAGTTGGACTTAACGGTACTTTTTGTTTTTTTTTCTACTTGGCCTCCCCCTACTTTTTGGCTTCTCTGTCAGGCTCCTGGTTGAGTTCTCAATCCGAGACATCCAGAATCTAACCACACTGGTCAGTGCGTGGCTACGACCCTTTCTTGCTTGGATTAGAGCAGCGGTTTTCAAAAGGTGTGCCTCAAGAATTTTTAAAACATGCAGTACCTGACTATTTAGTCAGGGACACTGACCTCTTTTCCCTTGGACTGTCCAATTTAAAAAATGCGAACGGCCAACACAGCAATTGCTATCTGGTGTGAACAAATCAAAATCATACCTATTTGATTTTTCAGATCAGCAAAACATGTATTTTTTGGTATGCTGCAGAATTTTAGTAATTCATGGGTGCCAGGAGATGAAAAATGTTGAAAATCACTGGATTAGAGCAAGAGCCCCTCACTAATCTCTTTGTTTCTGCTTATTGTTAACCACAGTAATCAAAGTAATATATATTTTTTAAAGACTTTACTTTTTTAGAGTGGTTTTAGGCTTCCAGCAGAATGGGGAGGAAGGTACAGACATTTTCTATATGCCCCCTGCCCCCACTCATGCATAGCTTCCCCTGTTATCAACAGGCCCCCATCAAAGCGATACATTTGTTACAAGTGATAAACCTACATTGACACATCTTAGTCACCCAAAGTTCATAGTTTATGTTGGTGTTTACTCTTGGTGTACATTCTGAGATTTAGATAAATGGAAAATGACATGCATCTACTACTTTAGTGTCATACAGAGTATTTTTACTGCCCTAAAAGTCCTCTGTGCTCTGCCTATTCGTCCCTGCCCCTCCCACCCCTGGCAACCTCTGATCTTTTTACTCTTTCTGTAATTTTGCCTTTTCCAGAAAGTCGTTGTTGGAATCACAAGTATGTGGCCTTTTCAGATTGACGTATTTCACTTAGTAATATGTGTTTACGTTTCCTCCATGCCTTTTCGTGTCTTGATAGGCTGTCTCTTTAGCACTGAATAATATTCCTTGTCTGGATGTACTGCACTTGATCCATTCATCTACCGAAGGGCATCGTGGTTGCTTCCAAGTTTGGCAATTATGGATAAGATGCTAAAAAATCAGTGTGCAGTTTTTGTGTGGACACAAGTTTTTAGCATCTTGGGGTAGATACCAAGGAGCACACTTGCTTGATCATATGGTACCACTATGTTTAGTTTTGCAAGAAACTGCTAAACAATCTTTTTTTTTTTTACATTATAGAGGGGGTTAATTTTTATTTTGCACAGAGGTTTACACACCACTGGAGGGTCGGAGGAAAAGGCAGAAGTGGACACAGACAAGGTTCGCAGACATTATTTTACATGACTGTGTCACAAGGTCCATCTTTTTTCTAGTAGTACACTTTACATTTGGTACTGGTAGTGGATTTTCATTAGCTACCAAATGAAACTGAAGAAGTAAAGCAAGTAGATATTCTTTGAAGACATTTTCTGAAGTTCAAAATAAATTTTTTAAATATATTCATATCTCTACCCTGCTCAAAATCCTACAGTGAATCTTGTTTCATTCACAGCAGCATGATCGGGCCTCTCTGCTCTCTGACATCATCTTCTACTGCCCCAGTTTACTCTTGCTCTTCCTTAAACAAAGCAGATTCCTTGAGTAGACCTTAGGGCCTTTGCACCAGCTGTTCTCTCTGCAGGGCTCTTCCCACAGATACCTGCATGGATCACTCCTCAGCTCCATCCCAGCTTCGACAAGATAGTACCTTCTCAATGAGGTACTACCAGATATCAGCCTGCTTACAATTTCAAGCTGTCTTCTCCACCCACTGCAGTCCTGGAAAGAAAGGGGTAACAGTTAGTTCTGGGGCCTTTTCTCTAGACTCAGGGACGCCTGGGGATTTGACCCTGTCTAGAATCCTTGCAACAAGAACTCAGCAATGTGTAGGAATATGGCTCTTACTTAAGAGAATCCCACTGACGTTTCTAGGGAGCAGAACAAGCACCAGTGTGTACTTTATTGTTGAGACTCTCACTGGCGGGAGGAGCTGTGATAGAGAATGAAAGGAAGCTCATCACATGCTCCTGAAGGGGCTGTTTGACTGGCAAGGTGGTATAAGCCCCAAAGTGGTCCTCCCCACCCAAATCATGTGTCATCGCTGTGCACATCCCAAGTGTTCAGTGCTATGCAGACCGTCGGCAGCCTGCTGGGAGTCATGAGACCTCTGCTCCTGGGCGCGGCGCATGCGCTTGGCCGGTCCTGTATCCCATCTTAAAGCTTGGTGCTGAGTGAAGCCTCTGATGCCTCCTGAGTGTGACTGTCCACTTGAACGTGAGACCATGATATGTGTTTTGCTGATGGTCTGCCTACCCTTACTAGAGGAAAACCTCATGAGGGCAGGGAGGTGTGCCCCGCCTCCTTTTTTCCACTACTGTGTCCCAGGCATCTGGAACAGTGCCTGGCATACACTGCAAGCTCAGTAAATATTTCTGAATGAATGAGTGAACAAATGTTTGTTTAGTGTTTCTTCAGTGCTGGGACTAGGGCATGGTGAAAAGAAGTAATAGACTTTCTGCCTTTGTATTTCTTAGAGCCTAGACTGTGAATGCAGTCATTAGTAAGATTGATCATTTACAGAGACCCATTCCCAAGGCATATCACAGAAAAGACTCTTGGAAAAATATATTTTTGTGGGTCGGGGGCAGGGTTAGGTCTTAGCAATTATAATGTAAAAGAAAGCTTGAGTTTCATCAATCGTATTTACATATATGAAGGAAGACCAAGTTATTAGAGGATATGTTATGTTGACATTGCCACATAAGAAGAATTTCCCAGCCCAGCCGGTGTGGCTCAGTGGTTGAGTGTCGACCCATGCACCAAGAGGTTGCCAGTTCGATTCCCGGTCAGGGCACATGCCCAGGTTGTGGGTCAGATCCCCAGTGGGGGGCACACAGGAGGCTGTCAATCAATGTTCTCTCTCATCGATGTTTCTCTTTTTCTTTCTCTCTCTCCCTCTCCCTTCCTCTCTCTCTAAAATCAATACAAAAAAAACTTTTAAAAAACAGAAGAATTCCCCAAACAGAAATCACTTACACCATTTAGTCTTCATATTGGTCCAAAGGAGGTGGTGCTATGGAAAGTGTGACTTCATAGTGCTCAGAATCGTCTTACACAAAATTAAGCGGGATCACTTGCTAAAAGATCGCAATGGTAAAACAGTAAGAGGATTTTAATTTTGTTTATAAGCCACTGTTATCTATATCGGTAGCAGTGTAGTCTTAGGTATTTTAGTAAATGATGATCATCATTTGGTCCAGTGTAATAGTGTACTACCTAGTTAGCTTGCAGATGTTAATTAAACACAATAATCTAGTTCCTTTAAATACATGGCTAGCTATATAAACTAGGAACAATTGCTAGCCATGTGCAGATGGGCTTCGTGTAATTTTGAGACACCATATTTTCACATCTCCATGCCTTTGCTCCTGCTGTTTATTTTTCCTGGAATTATCCTTCCTTGTCAACTCTTGCAAGCTCCTCCTTGTCCTCCAAAATCCAGCCAGAGTACATTTTCTCTCTGGCTTTTCCGGGTGCTGTCTTCCTGCCACAGGTTCTCCTCTTAAGATGAATTGATTAATTGTTTCATCCTTTGTGTTCCCAAAGCTTCTGAGTTTTAAGGGCATCTCTGTCACCTTGGTTTCTCCAGGGGCTGGCACAGCCCCTGTCTCAGAATATGTGTTCAATAAATAAGTATGGGGTTTGAAGCAGACTATTCTTACCTTGGTTACCGATTCATCCAGAAAAATATTTATTAAGAGCTTTTTTATATGCAGGGTGCTGGCCCTGGCAGGCTTGGCTCGGCAATTAGAGCATCAGCCTGTGAATCAAAGGGTCTTGGATTTGATTTCCAGCCAAGGGCATGTACCTAGGTTGCAGGTTTGATCTCGGCCCCAGTCAGGGTCATGTGGGGGCAACCAATCAATCTGTCTCTCTCTCACATTGATATTTCTCTCTCTCTCTCTCTCCTATCCTTCCTCCCTTCCACTCTATCTAAACATCAATGGAAAAATATTCTCGGGTGAGGCTTAACCAAAAAAAGAAATTATATGCAAGGTGCTGTGTTATATGTTATAAGGATACTGAACAAAATCGGATGCCAAATTTCTTAAAAACTTAAAATATAATGTAATAAGAAAAAAAATAAGTCATGCATAAAAGTAACTATAACACACGATTTGAAGTGTGATTTTCAAGGAGAGGTGTCTGTGTGTGTGAGAGAGATAGAGATTACTTCATGCTAGGGTTCAAGAATGTTTTCTTATTGACTAGGGAAATGTTTTTCCTTACTAAATAGCTAGAAAGCTGTGATTCAAAACTATGATACTTTTGTTGTCTCACAAATTAGGTTAAATTATATCCTAGATATAAATATGTATCTCTCTCGCTCACTTTCACTTGGTGTACTATTGTAGACTGTTGGATTAAAACTCGGCTCAGGGTTATGCTGCTACTTGCCAAACAGTCCATCTTCAAAGTCAAGTTTCACTTGGTGCCTTAAGGTCTGAATTTAATGCATTCCCTAGTTTTTAGCAAACACCTTAAGTGATACATCCTTTACATGTTGCTACAAGTTCTCTCTAGTTGCCATTATAAATCGGTTGTAGAAAGATTTTTGACAAAAGTTAACAATAATGTCATTGAAATGAAAACTCCAAACCACATTTAACTGAGTCATTTTAAAAACTTTTGGTCAGCCTACTTTGAATGATCGGCATTTCACTGTATTTAAGCCAATAGTTAAGAAATTTGGCAGATTGCATTTTTCCACTTTAAGGCGTAAAATGTCAGCTGTGTAAGTGGTTACTGATGTTAACTGATGGTCACCAGCACTTTTTCTCTTTTCATTTAGACTTGGATTATCACTTGCATTTATCTTCAACTGCTCCTCTTTAATCCTCTCGCCAGGACTACAGGGATCTGCACGAACCGTGTAACTGACGATGTGAAAGACGTTATAAAGCTGGTAAGGAAGGAGTGCTGTCACTAGTTGTGACTCTTTTGCTTGTGCTTTTTGAAAGAGATTGCATTTGTTCTTGCTCCAAAGTGGTGTCAAGGGAAGAAATCATCGAGTTAGCGAAAGGGTGGACAGGCAGAGCAGGTGGGAAGATATGGTCCTAGAGGCTGTTGTTCAGCTTGACCCATGGCACACCACCGCAGCGACTTCTGTGCTGGTCTTTGATCTCATTCACGGGCAGGGAGGACACGGACAGCTCCCTCCCTGTGTGCTGAGGTGCCAGCCCTAGCGCCTCATTAGCTCTGTAGTGGGCTCCTCACTGAGATGGCCGTTCTCCCCCTTCCAGCAGCTGGAAGACCCTGGCACATGTGGCTTCATGTGTACTCCCTCGGTGCACATAGTTGGAGGAGCGATTTGTTGCCCACATGTTGCCCATCACTCATCACATTGGAACTCTTCCCTCAGCAAAAGCCATTTCACACCAGTGCCGTTAGGCATGGCCGGCTGCAGACCACAGAGACGGGGGACACTGTGCCACATCTGGAAGGCGTTGTTCCCAGCTCTGACGGTCCAGGGGAAATTGTACACGCTCACTTGAGTTACGGAGTGCGATTCCAGATGAACAACGTTTGAGAGGCAGTTTTACAAAGCCCTGCTTCAGAATGGCCAGGGACCCTTAGTTACTTGAATATTAGAACAGAGTGATGTGAGACCAAGAAGGAAATGAAGGTTGTAGTATGTAGAAAAGAAAGAAAAGTAAATTTGTTGACATATTTATCTTTCCTACTCTTTTTTTTTTTTTTGGATGATCCCATTTATTTATTTATTATTTATTTATTTTTATTTTTTATTTTATTTTTGTTACAGATGTTTCTCCTTTTTCACCCCATTGACACCCCTCCTCACCATCCCCCCTATCCCGTCCCTGGTTTTGTTGTTCCTGTCCATTGGTTATGCACACATGCATATAAGTGCTGTCAAATGGATAACAAAGCTGTGGTACATATACACAATGGAGTACTATGCAGCTGTAAGAAAGAAAGATCTCTTATCTTTTGAGACGACATGGAGCTACCTGGAAAGTATTATTCTAAGCGAAACAAGCCAAGCAGAAAAAGACAAATGCTACATGATCTCACTTATATGTGGAATATAATGAACATAACAGCCTGAGGAACAGGGTAGATCCAGAGAGGTGGAAGTAGGGTACAGACTGACAACCCTCAGAAGAGGGGGTGGTGGGGGGAGGGAAGAAATAAACCACAGAACTTAAATGCATGTACGCATAACCAGTGGACATCTTTCCTACTCTTAATATACATTTCCTGGCTTATATGTTTTATTTTGGGTTCATAGCTGAACTTCGAAACAGAAGTTTAATGCTGTGGTCAGAGTCTTGCTAGCTTAGCCTCAGTGCAGAATTAGGAACACACACACACACACACACACACACACACAATTAATGCAGGTTCCTTAGAAGGATACCCAGAGGCTGCAGGTTTGAAAGTATTCTTGATGCAATACCTGAAGATATAGTAACATGTTTTATTTAAGGGGCTGGTGACCAAAGCAATGCGACATTTGCCTACTATATGCCCCCCTAGGGACTGAGTATGTCAATAGGGGTGAGGGGAAAGTTTACTTAAAAAAAAAAAAAATACATCATGGTCCATTTCCTCATGTTGCTTATTAGTTTGTGACCCAAGAAATTACATTAAAAAGAAAATATGTGTTTATATTCTAACTTTTGCGTTAGCAGAAGACCATGTTAGCAGAAGACAGTGTTAAATGTGTGTTTGATGAATAGAATACGGATGTGCTTCCCTGTGGTGAATTATAATCACCAGTGGTGCTTATTAAAATTTTGGGTGCCAGGGTCCTGCTGACTCAATGGGTCTGAGGAAGTGGTCCAGGCACCTCCAGTTTTAGGACATTTCTGAAAGGAGGGTTAAGAATCACTGCTCTAGATGGTCTACTCTGTCATGCTTTGGAGAGCAAAGTGTCTTAACTTTGATTTAATCTCCATGTTTATTACGATTCGTTGTGTCGGAGTCAGATTAATTTGCGTCTCCAATATAAGTTTAAAGTGGGTCAGAACTAAGTCACCAGAGTTCTCGGCTACTGGGAGGGCTGTGGAGCTGAGCAGGAGCTGGGGGTGATCTGCACTGGTCCTGGGGAGCAGGTTTCAAGTTGGGGACAAGGAACCACAGTTAGAAGAGGATGGTGTGTCTGACCGCAGAGTGAGCACGTCCAAGATTAACAAGGCATTTAAGAAGAATTACTTGTCGGCATTGTTTTTTTGCTAAGTGTTTGAGGAGTACTACTTAATGAGCATCACTTCCTGTGAAATGTCACATCGGTATTTTCAAATGGCATATGTAGGTATTAAAAGCACCTTCCCAGATTTTCCATTCTTGTCTTTAACCATTCGCTTATTTTCCATCTGTCACCTGTCTGCTGATACAATGGCAAATGGCAAGAAGCACTCAAGAGAAAGAAGTGCCAGAAAGGGATGCTTATTAATATTGACATTGAAATATAATTCCTTGCCTCAAGGACAACTGTGAAATCATTAAACTGTAAGGGGGTTTTATTTCCCTTCTAGCAACTAACTCAGGGAAAATTTTTAATTTCAAGAGTTAATCTAGTGACATTAGCATGTTTATTCAGATTACTGAAAAAAAAAATCAAGTTAATAAGTTAATAAAAAATAGAGCTGAGAAGATCACTTCTGATTGAATAAAGACCTACATGATGCACAGCCTGTATTCCATAGAGTGGGAAACAGAGAAATGTAAAACAATTTCTAGTCTCGAAGTGGGAGATAAGTCATCTCTATGGATATGTGAATGCATATCACTAACACCACAGACAAAACGCACAAGTGGATGCCATTTTAAAGATTTCATGGTATCTCCCTGGCCAGTTTTGCTCAGTGGTTAGAGCGTCGACTCGCAGACCAGAGACTCCCAGGTTCGGTTCCCACTAGGGGCACGTACCTCGGTTGCAGTTTGTCCCTGGCCCCAGTTGGGGTTGTGTGGGTGGCAACCACTCAATGTGTCTTTCTCACATCGATGTTTCTCTCTCTCTCTCTCTTCCTACCTTTCTCCCTCCTGCTCAATCTGAACATAAATGCAAAAATATCCTCAGGTGAGGATAAATAAATTAAAAAAATAAAAAATTTCATGTTACCACAGGGGCCCCAACCTGTGTGAATATATAGGTTAAGAGAATGGATTTGGGAATCAAGCAGACCTGAGTTTTAAATCCCAGTTCTTTGACCTTGGGTAAGTTAACTACCTTTCTAAATTTCAGCTCTTAGTTTTCAGTTTTGTGTTAGAATAAGAGAATGTATATATAGATTTTTTTTTTTTACTCCAGTTATTATCACATAACCTCTTTGTGCCTTGGTTTCCTCATCAGTATAATCAATTAGTAATGCTTTACACCCTGGCCAGTGTGGCTCAGTTGGTTGGAGCATCGTCCCGTACACCGAATGGTAGGGTCGATTCTTGGTCAGGGCACATGCCCAGGTTGCAGGTTCCAAATAAGAAAAAAGAATCAAACATGAAAAATGTTTAAAAGCAGCTGCTTTAAACTAGTGTTTGTGGGCTATCACGTAAGAGCCATGTTTTAGGGTACTTATTAAAATTACAGCTCAATATAGTCTCTTGGGGTATTTATTAAAAGTATAGCTGTCAGAGTCCCGCCTCAAAAATACTGAATCTCGCCCTGGCTGGTGCAGCTCAACTAGTTGGGTGTCATCCCATACGCCAAAAGGTTGCCAGTTCGATTCCTGGTTAGGGCATATGTTCTGGTTGTGGGCTTCATCCCCAGTTGGTGCGTCACATCAATGTTTCTCTCCCTCTTCCTCTTTCTCTCTTGCTCTCTAAAAAATCAGTAAAATAAAAAAATCTTTAAAAAAATCCTGAATCTCAACTTGTGGGATGGGGTTGAGGAACCTCAGTATTTCTGACTAGCATCCCAGGTCATAGTTATTTGCATAGAAGTACCGGGAACGCTTAGGCCATAATACTTACAATATTGGTTTTTTTCATGTTTGAAAAAAAGCTGTGTTTCCATCCTAAAACTAAAGGTCATTCATTTCACTAATTCAAACAGCAACATGAGTGACTTTTGAGTTTTCTGAGTACAGATCATCACAGCCTCTCTCAAAAGAACAGCAAGACAAAGCATCTTGACCTCAGGCGCACAGGACTATTTGAAGACCAGCTCTGCTATAACCTAGCTGTGTGACCTTGGACAAATAAATCCCTGAAGTTTTCCAGATTCACTTTCAGTTTTTAAAATGAGAAACAGTCCTGGCTGGTTTGGTTCAATGGTTAGAGCATCAGCCTGCGGACCAATGAATCACAGGTTCAATTCCGGTCAAGGGCATGTACCTTGGTTGCAGTTCATCACCGGCCCTGGTCGGAGTCCTGTGAGAGGCAACCAGTCGATGTGTCCCTCTCACATCAGTGTTTCTCTTTCTCCCTTCCCTTCCCTTCCCTTCCCTTCCCTTCCCTTCCCTTCCCTTCCCTTCCCTTCCCTTCCCTTCCCTTCCCTCCCCTCCCCTTCCCTTCCCTCCCCTTCCCTTCCCTCCCCTCTCTCTCTTCCCCTCCATCCCACTCTATTTGAAGAAAAATGGAAAAATATCTTCCAGTGAGGATTAAAAAATAATAATAAAAAAATAAAATAAAATGAGGAACAAAGGACCCAATCCATAGTTGTTAATCTAGGATTCATAAATGTCAATCCCGTGCACAATGGAGCTCCAGATCGTGCCTCTGTGTGCCCTGTGGCATTTCTAAGAGGTTGCCTGTCTTCCCTCAGTGGCCGGGAGCTGACCCTTCAGAAAGATCATAACTACTAAATTAGATAACTTCAGAGCGCCTTTTTAGCTCTGAAGTTCTTTTAGTCCATAATGATACTTCCTCAGGTTGCACCTTTTGGAGGAGTAATTCAGTAATGTCTTAAACTCAAGGAGGTTATGCAGAATGAGGGGAATT